TAAAAGGTTGTTACTGTACAGTACATGTAACTTCAGTGCTTAATTAATGTACATGTACATTAATTAAGCACTATGGTTTTAATGAAGATTCAACTTAAAGCTTCAAACTAGTTTTAAAAAATATTAATGCATAATAAAACTTTTTGATAGCTTTAAGTTTGAACAAAATGCATTTATTTTAGTCTTATTAAAAATTTAAACATATATGTTGAAGTAATTAAATTTTGCAATTTACACTCATCCAAAAATAAACATAATCATCCTATCCATAAATATGAGTCAGGTAGAGTCTAAAAAATAATTATTCTTGGATTTGAATCTAGAGTGGAGAATCTGATTCTTTCCACAATATTCATGGGCTGTAACAGTTTGAAAATGGTGATATTGTCTGGGGCAGCCATCATGCTTGATAGTCACATTTTTAGTTTTTGCAAAGGATGCCATTAATAAAAAAAAAGGTAAACTGACAAAGCTTTGGAATCTTTCTCTCTCTTTTTGCATATGAGAGTATTTCAAGGTGCTATAGATACAGATTTTATTTTCATAGACAATAGTGCCTATGCATATAGGGTTGAACTCGTCAATGACTTTCTTGATAGTGAAGATATTTATTACAAAAAATGGCCAGCAAAATCTCTAGACCTAAATCTCTCATACACATTATTCCACATGTTCTAAGTTGAATCTTATCAGCTTTCAGCAGGAACATTCCATGAACTTCAAAATTCTCTTATTCAAGAATGGTTGTTTAGTGTTTTTTGGCACAAGGGCCACATAGGCCAAGCTGCGCCATGATATTCAAGAATGGACTTTGCTGCCAACAGAGCTGATAAACATTATAACCAACATGAGCAATTGTGCAGTGTGCAAGAGGCAGGCCATATTTAATTATTTTTAGTGCAAAAAGATTTACAACAATGCTTATTTTTATTTTTGGTTTTGACATAATTTAGGCAAAGTTTTCTTCTTTTCAACTGTTTTGTGGAATAAAGAATACAATATTCTGCTTGTATGTTACATTTTCACTGTTCTAATCAGTAGCTTGAAATATAGGCAAATGAATGATTATGCTCAATTTTTGGAGGGAAAGGTTAATAAAATTAAGTTAAAATTTTGTTAATGGTTATAAAATATTGGCATTAGTAAAATATATTTAATAAATAATACAGTATATGCAAAGAACATTTAGAATTTATTTGTGTATTAATTTTATGAATTGATTTTCTGTCAAAATTATATTATTATACACAATTTAAGTTTATTATAATCTATTTAATGTGTTATTTGGTATTGAACAATGAATATCATATGACCATTTCCCAGACATTCTTGACAGGAAACAGCTTGGTTGAATTAACTGTTTTAAGGCATATGATGATGATGATGATTTGTTTAACCCAAAAACATTTTTTGCTACACTAAAAATTTTTATTGGATAAAGATTATATAAACTTGCATTATTCCAGTTTTGATCCTGTATTATAAATTACATTACATTAAAGAGGCAATGAATGTTTCATTAATTTAAGCATAAGGAGACAAAATTTACCATGTTACCATTGTTTTCTTTAAGGTGATTTTCTGATACATTAGACAAAAACTGAGATATTTGAGTATATTCTCTTCAGAATAGCCAACTGGAGAATGAAACATAGCAAATAATAGCATGGACCTATATAATGAAAAATTAGAGTATCATATACATTTGTGAACTATTCAGTCTAAAAATTTAGTTAATATAAAGTCCAAATATTAATAGTACTCATGCTACTTGTAGCATGAGAACCATTGTTTGCAGATTAGTATTTTTTTCCTATCATATCAAGGATCAGTATCACATTCATGATTACTGTATTATTTGATTTTCATATAGGTATGTAGCCTAAATGAAAAATACATTTACAATATATCAATAATAATCTGAAGAAATGGGGATCATGCTTATATAAAATCATACAAGAAAGCATGTCCTAGTGCTGCTATTATTTTCATTTAAATGCCTGGCAAATAGCATTAAGTATACATTCATTATATAAAATTTCTAAAATTTATATATTGATAACTTAACATACTCAAGATATGATATAATTGAAAAAGAAGTGTTATCATCAAATAAAAAAAAGGTTTTATTAGTAACAAGTAAAACGGCAAAACCGTATTTGGAACAAGACTATGTCATGGAGACTCACTACTAAGCGGAATCACTTTGACGCTCAAGGCGGGTCTTGTTCTCACTCTCCAATCTTCTTCGGAATCACTGCTTTTGGGCACGATCGTTCAAACTTTGCCAGCCACTACCATGAGGTTGTCCACGATGCATTTTCGATGAAATTAACCTATCCAATTTCGAAATTTCTCTCCATTGTGTGTTGACCCGGGTTGAATTCTTGTCGATGCAAAATGAAAATTTCCCATTTTTGAAAAAATAATTGTGGCTATTGTATCATCCAAAATTATTTTTTTATTTTGCAAAAACAATATACCATTTAAAATGTCATTGGATGTAATGATAATCCTAATATAACGACAAATTTTTATTGGTCCCACGATTTTACTATACTAGATAATGTTAAAAAACCTACTTGTAACGACATCCTGTTTTAATGTCATATTTGAAGCACTCCCAAATTTACAAAATTAGATTACAAATTTTATTTAACATAGAAGAAACTGTGTGTTCAGTCCTAAGATCAGCGTTCACTTCTTAGAATGACTGTGGGTGGTACTCTCCCCACCTGACTTCAGTGGGGTGAGGTGACTGTTTTACCTGTTTGTAGAAGAGGGTCGCCATTTTGTATTTTATTTTGACTCGATTCTCTGACTACCTAAGAGTCTGGATTTTTTTATGTACAAATGATTTGGGCACCTAATACTCTGTGCCAAATATCAACTCTCGACATGTACTCCTTCATACCTCTATGCTGGTAAGAAAATCAGGCAGTACAATTTTATAAACAAGACATAGTCTTCTTGTTTATAAAATGTTATGTTATTGACAAGACATAGTCTTGTCAATAACAAAGTTTAGTCTTTTTATTTACAAGACATCTCTGCAGTAAGTTTGTGTGAAACAGTAGTAAATTTAAATTATTATTTCTGCAATCTAATGATGCTGTTTTTTCCCAAACTTATTGCAGAAGTCGTCGTGATAAGTTTGTGACTCAGTGTGTGATTTAGTGGTATATCACATGGCACTCAATGTGTTAAATTAACAACAAAATTATTTTCAAATTAGGATCAAGTTTTTTTTTAATGAACTAATGACCAAATTGGTAAATTTTTACCTATTGTACTGTACATATAAAACAATATATATATACATAATATAGTGAAATTCCATTAACCTGACAAGCCAGCATGTCAAGCTCGTAGTTGTTAGGAGGTTAATGGTGCATTGTTCTTTACCATTGTCATCAACTTCTGATATAAACATTGTGGAGCAAGACATGATGATATGCTAGATAAAATCAGTTAGCTTGTTCATGATTTTTCTAAAGACTTTTCCAAAGACATTAGCACACCGATTTGATATGAAAAGTAAAAATATTTAGTACATTTAGAAACAATTATCATCATGGAAACAGATATAGTACATTACTGTTCATGTACTTTGATAATAAAAGTATTTTGTAATTTCAGTACGTCTGTATTTATATGCAATAACAATGTACAAAGCAAAAAGTAAGAATAGTGTATTCTTGTCTCATACCAATCAAAAGGTAAGAATAGCCTGGAAAAATTGAAAGATGGCATGTTAAATGTTCATAAAAGACATCTTAACTTGTAAAACTGTAGAAATCCAAGTAAAATTGTGTCCAGGGATTGAAAAAACTTCCACTGTCTGATAAGGTGGCATATTTGATAATCCAGCATTGTCAGTCCTGATGATGCTGGGTTAATAGAATTTCACTATACATAAAACAGTCCTTTCTTTGTAATTGTTTAAAATAGATTAATAATAATTATCAATATGGCAATCTTTTCTAAGAATTTTTATAAAATTTTAAACAATCTCTAGATATTAATATTTTCATTTGCTATATTTGAAATGAGTTTTAGAAAATATATTTTCAGAATATTTTAAGTTACCCTGAAGATTTATTACTACTTACTCTATATTTTCTTACTTTTAATCACTAGCTTTTTCAAATTCAATTACAACCCATCTAAAAAATGAGGAACTTCTGTTATTTTTTGGCAAAAAATACTGAATTGAAAATACCAATAAATAGATAATTTGTTATTAGTAGAGAGTAATTTTATCAAATAATATTTTGGCTATGCTATTCTTTTATCGTCATATTCTTAATATATACATAGATTCTTTAAAGAATCAAATATCATGTGTATTGTCACAAGCTTTTAAATGTGTCTTTTTTACTCTCTTTAATACATTATATCATTTGAAAATTGTTGCACAGCTTTAACTTAATAGTTATTAAAAAATATCTATTTGGAAACAAATATGAGAAACAAGAATTATATTTTGTTTTGTGAACAAAAAAACACTGTACTAATCTTCAGGATGACAACATTTAATATAATAAATTCACAGTTTTATAATCAGACATATGACACCACAATAAACAAAAAAATGCATTTGATAATTGTTTTCTTTTGTAATTTGTTCTCTGTCTATTCTTCATAAAGGAAAAAATATGGCAATTATTCCACATTTTATGCTTACCTGATTTAGTTTTGCTTGTTTTAATAAGAACATTTTCTATTTTAAAAACTCATTCAAATGCAACTAAATTGTTCATTAATTGACAGTAATATATAATTTGTAAGCATATAAAATTTAGTAAATAAAAATTGCAAATGTCAAACTAAATCTACAATTGAATATGTAGAGAATAAAATTTTATACTTGTCATATTAGTTCAAGTCTAATTTGATTTTTTTACTATGGCAGGATCTACAAAGTTAATTGATGGAATATAACATCAATCATCCAAAGTTTGTTTTGAAAAATTTATTAAACACAAGAAAAAGATAAATGATTATGTAAAAGTAAATGGCTGACAGTAACTGCAAATTCCAATTGTTATGTAAAACCTGATTCATTTGTTAAGTAAGTGAATCCTATATCATCAGAAATGATTGTTGTCTTAAAGATTATTCTCAGTCCAATTGATTACTTAGCTAACATATTTCAAATAGAATGTATTCTAGATTTAATGTGAACTTATCACTATAAAAATAAAACATTTGTAAAATCTTGAAAATTAAAGTTAAATTATAGTGATTAACATAAAATTAAAAGGCAAATTCAATTTATTGATCATACTACAGTATATCAACAATGGAAATTCATCATTCAGTTTCTAAAAGCAACATTTAATAGTTTCCAAACTAGTTACACAGTTAATGTCATTACACCCAATTGCAATGTATATAACCATTTACTAACCATTAAGAAAGCTTTATAACTTAAAATTATTTTAAAAATAACACAGTTAGCATTTTGTTTTTGTTTATATAACCTGACAAAGTTATATTTACACTAAACTTACTGTAGTGTGACAAAATTCAATTCTTTCTGATTTTATTATATAATTAAGTAGGAAAAAAAATTCATTTCTAAATATAAAAATTCTGTACTTTTCTATAATTATAATAATTTCAAAATTTTCTTAAGGGGGAAAAATATGTTGCTTTGAATGATACCATAATATGATTGAAATATCATTCATATAATATTTTAATTGATTCTCCATGAACGACTTTCCTACAATTTTTTTTTAAATTTTCAACTAATTATGTACTCCTCTGAATCAATTACATTCTAAGATATTATGAATCAAACTGTAAGCTTTTCTGTTGATGAAAATGGATAGTATATAAAATAAAAATCACTTTTCTTAGTAATATCAAAAAATTCTATAATTGAATTTACTAATTAAATGTCTATAGCGCATATTTATGGAAGGTGATCAGATTTATATCATTATACAGATATTAACAAATATAAACTGCATAATAAACATATTCTTAAAAATATTTAAAATGACCCTTTGTAATTATTAATGTAAAAAGATATGAAAAAACTACCTTCATTTCTAAAATTTCATTCATTCATGGAAGAATCTAGTTGTTTAACAAATAACTTAATCCATTATTTATAAATTAAAATTTCTGACTGATAAATTAAAAAAAGTAATCTGAAATTTTTAATTTTAATCAGAAATCTAATTTGTACTGAAGTAACACAGACAATAAATATGCAATAAAAATTTTACTACGTCTAAACAAAAATTTACTTTCTGTTCTATGAGTGTAAATTTAATAGACAAAATTTAAACAAAGATTATAACTATAATAATTATGTATGAATGTGAAAATGCAGCAGCTCATTAATTCAAAGCTGTATGAAATAATGATAATATTTTCTATTAAATATTGATCTTTAAAACAAATTATTTTTGCAAAATGTACTCAAATCAGCAAGAATAAAACTTAATAATCAAACTAGTCATATAAATCAACATTTGAATAGGCTGCATATCTGTTATTTATCATCTGATAAACTGCAAAGATCAATATTGTCATTTTTACAATTATAAAAACAATGTGCAATTTATTGAACATTTATCAATAATGTTTATTCACACAGTTAATTTTTTTTAAGTACAAAATTTTAGATTAGCATGATTAAAAAAACCAGCAAACATCTCCTAATGCTGCTTTGTAATTCCAACTGCTACATTCACATTTAATCTTAGAAAGTGCATATAATATATTTACATTTACCATTTTTTTCCTATAAAAAAACTATCCAATTTAATTTCTTATAACTATCTAAATAAAAATAATAATTAATTTCAAAAAATCTGATCACCTTATACAAAACAATATCAAGGACAAGCACAAATTAGAAACAAAAATTCACAAGGAATGTACTTTTTAATATGACATTTCAGAGGAATGCATGCTAGTGTGGTGTGTGTGTGTGTCTGTGTATATAGATATAGATATAATTTTTTTTTTCTTTTTTGCATCAATAGCTAAGAGGATTTTGTGCAAAAAAAGAAATAAGATACACTATATGAAATCTGCACCTTCACTTGTTGCATGACAAAAATTCCTAAATATTGTGAACGATATGAATCATTGTTCTATAGCAATGGTATGTAAATTCAAATACCTGCAATAAAATAAAGATGAATAAGATAGAAAAATAGGAGTTTGTTTCGTTTTCCTTTACATGAATTTTATGTACCTTGATAAAAAGTGAAGAGGGTACAGAGGCTACAATTAAGGCTAAATGCAAGGCTTTTTACTTGGGGGTTCATCAGTGGCCTCCAAACTACTATTGGATACCTCACTATCTTCGCCAATATTCAAGTGTGCATTGTAGATGTTTTTATCAACGGGTTCATTTGAAGAATCATCTTGATCCAATTGTTTCAATGCATCACGTACAGATTTGTCTTTATCTGAATGATTGCTGCTTGACTTTCCGTTTGGAGTTGCATCTTCATCATATTTAGGTAAATCATCGAGAATAGATGGTTTCAGCTCTCTTGCCAAGAAATGTGTCCACAGTGCCAATTCTACTTTATGAGGAGTCCACTTGGTTTCTTTATCTGGAAATTAAATAAAATTAGATTTCAAATAAATCTATTTATTTCTGTTTAAGAGAACAATCTTGAATATTTATACCATGCTCATTTAAACGATCACTACATGCTTTTATTTGTGCAGTATAGTTCACATATTCTGCTAAAGTATAATCTGTAGTTTCAATTCCTGGAGTAGACAACATACTTTCATCAGCCATGAATGGAGCATGTTCCGGATAACCAGCTGCTAGAATTGCTAATGTATGGAGGAAAAAAAAAAATTCAATATAAAAATTTATTTTTTCAGAACTGAAAGTGTAAATTTCAATTATTTATTAAATAATTTGTAATGAAAAACTTACCTGATGCAGATGCAGGACCAATACCTTTTAAACAAGTAAGTGCATTTATAGCTTTAGTGATATTTGGAACTTTTCTGAAAGCTTTCTTGCTTGCCTTCAATACTGCAGTTTCTGTATTTATGCGCACCAAGTCCATGAGACAAGGACGGAATTTTCCTCTCTAATAGTTAATTTTATTATTATATTAAACTGTACTTAAACCCCATAAAATAATACACAAAAATATTATATACATATATATATATATATATATAGGATGTCATGTAACTGGTGTATAAATGGGCAGGTGACAATTCTAAATGAAATACTGAATTGAAAATATAGAATAAAATTTTTCACGAGGCTTTGTTTCCAAGAAAAATAGCTTTGAAAGTTTATCAAGTATGAATGATCAAGATTCAACTTAATGGATGTTTCTGTATGCTATTTTTATTATTGAGTGTTTTGAAAGCAATTCTGTTACTTGATATATTTGCATACATTGTTGATGTTATGTTTTTTTATATCATTCTTATTCTTCTCTTATGCTTTTGCAATCAAATTCTTAGTTTCTATCATAGTGCCAATATGACTACATACAGCAATTAAAATGTGCTGAGTGCATGTGACAGCAGTGCTTCTGCTGCTGCTAATTATTACAAAATACAGATATCCTAATCTTCAATATCTCACTAGGAGAGTTATTCAGAGAGCAGAGTGAACTCTCATAAAACACAGTTCTTTTGAACCAATTTGTTAACATGGGAGTCACATCTGATGACTCAACTTGAATGTTAATAGACAGAATTTATATGAAATCTGATGAATTGAATCTTTATCATGTACTTGATAAACTTTCAAAGACATTTTTCTTAGAAACAAATCCTCACAAGAAAAAATTTTACTCTGTTTTCAATTCAGTATGTCAAGTAGAATCACCACCTTCCCATTTGTATCACCAGTTACAAAACATGGTTTAACTCTGAATAGATGAATGATTTTATATATATTGATATATATAAAATTGTTCATCTATACAGTAAGGAGGAATTTTGTTTCAAGTTCTACTCCAGGAAATTATTTTCTTCCAACAATTCTAAATTAAATTTATTATAATTATTAAAATTATCATGTGATGATGGCATAACTACCTATCTCTTGTCAAATTATTTCAAATCAAATTCTTGAAATTAGCTCAACAGTACATGATTTGTTTGGTTTGGCTTTAATTAATAATCAACTTTTTGATTTGTATGTTTATATATATTATTTTATCTGGGATTCAATTAACTTTTAAAATCATCCTAAGTGACAAAAAAGACTTATCATCATTCCATAATATTAAATGTTTATCAAGAATTTATTTTCAAATATTTTCAAAACAGTGTCTATGGTGAGCTAGGATTTCAAAGTCCCAATCAATCTTACATTGTATAACATTTTAATTCTATTAGAATTTTGAATATCAACAGCATATAAAAAAATCAAATAGATACCAAACTGAGTAACAAGAAAACTACACAAGAATGTTCATTATATTTTTTTTTATTATCGAACTTTATAAATTAGAGCACTATATTGATTTCAAAATTTATCTGACGTTAAAAATACATTGAAAAAACTAAAATTGTCTTCATATCTTTATCACTTACAATCACCAGGAACAAGTAGTCTTTCTTTACCAAGAAAACCTTTTATTAGAGGCTATTCCTCTTAAAATATGCAAAGTAGTTTTAAAAAAAATTCTTAATAAGAATTCCAAAAATTAAAAATACATTGAAGAAACTAAACATATCATATCAGCAGTTTGCTATAGCAGTTTTACATATCAGCAGTTTGCTATAACTTCTTAAATCTCATATATCATTAAATATTAAGAGTTAACAATGAAAATAGTGAGGAAAACCAATGCATATTTTATAAAATTTGGTAAAATGAAAATAAAAATATCCCCCTCTCTCTTTTGGAAGACATAAAAGTATTAAAATACACAAAATTATTACACTGACATAAATTTATCAGATTTGAAATACATTATTATTTTAAAATGTTCCAAATAGCCCAAAAAAGCTTGTGGTTTCTGACAATGAAATCTAGGTAAAATTTTAAGTACACTTTATTTTATTCAGCTGTGATGATAATTTTAATAAGTTGTTTATTTTTCTTATAATTTGAAACTGTGTCGTATAATTTCTTTGTTTCTCAAACACAAATAAGTGTCACAAATTACAACACTTGGCTTTTTACCATCTTTATTCAGTTGATACAAGATGAATAAAGATGGTAAAACACCAAGTGTTGTAATTTGTGACACTTATTTGTGTTTGAGAAACAAAGTTGTTTATTGTTATTAAATTTATATAAGTATAATACTAATGCTAACATTTATATAATTATAAATATAATAAATTTAGATCATAACTATTTGCTATTGTGCATGCACTTACTTTGTTATTTAAAAATGTGTTTTAGTCTTTTACATTCAGTATTTGTGTATTGAAGCTAAAATGTGAAGTATATAATGCTCAAGATTACAATTTAAAGTCTTTCATCATTTTATCAAAAAGGATTATAACAGAACTAGAAGTGCAGAACATGTCCAACTGCTCAATTGGGGTTTTGAGAGAAATTGAAACAGTCTTGGGAAAATTTGTGATAGAAAATCAATATTACAGCAACAGCTGCAAATAAAAACAAGTCTGACCCAGAAGACTGTCAGCTCATACAGATAGTTAAGTTATACAAACATCTAAGAGAAATTCATATGGAAATCACTACAGCATCTGTCCAGCAGATTTATTTCAGACAAAATCTTTCAAAGATGAAATAAACCCCATGAAAAGGTCAAGAGTATACCAAATACCAATGAGAGAAGGTTGGACAGCAAGATGGAGTATATAGATGCAACATTCTGATCACTTATGGCAAGAATCAAAGAACACTGGTCCAAAGAATGGAAAGACAAATGGCCATAGCAGTAACTGCAATGGAGCTGGAAATAGAGGTAATTGAAAGTGGCTAAAATCATAAAACCTACTTATTGCATTGTCAATTTAAGACAAGGAAGAGAGAGAGATTTAGAAGTCTGTGTTGAGAAGCAGATCCATAAACTTTAAAAGTCATGTGTAATCAGTGTATTTTTATTTTGTGTTATTTGTTTTAATTCTTGTGTACATTGAAGTGTTATTTTGTTACTGTAAAATTCAGTGATGGAGTGATAAAACATATTTTAAAAGCTATCAAAACCATACAAAAATTTCTGCATTGCAGAAATTTTTGTATGGTTCAAACTCTGAATTCCATTCAAGATTTGATTGTCTCAAGTTGAAAGATTAAAAGATAATCTTTCAACTTGTAAAGTTAAAAATGTAGTTCATTAAAATATTTTTACTGGTTTTATGGTGTCTTGAACTCTCATTACAATATTAGTTTGTGTTGATAAACATAAAAATATCATTGCATTAAAAAGAATTAATTAATAATGATGAGAAAGTCAAACTTTAAAAAAAATTTTGACTATCTTTCTGCAAAAAATTGTTACATTTCTTAAATAATTTTTCAGAAAAAAACTGCCCATTATGCCCCATATGATGACCATTGTCATCATAAATCAATTGTGTATTTTTGGATGTCAAAAAGTCCATTATTGTCCCATGCTAAAAATAGATTATTTATGGCCTCAGTGATGATATCAATTTTATTTCTATTAATCAATGTATTATGTCAAGTTTATATAATTGTATATGTTAACATATGATGATGAACTATGTTTAAAGAGCATGTTTAAAGTGTTCTTTTAATTAAAAAATTTACAATAATGTGTGTTTAGTGTTTGTGTCAAATCACACAGTAATCCTATTGAATTATTTATAAGATTTAATTTGAATTTCCCAAACTATATAGTAATAATTATTAATTCATTAGTAAATTGTTGTTTTATTTTGTGGAATAATTTTTGAGGAAATTGTGTGTATGTTCTTGGAAAGTTTTGGTCCTGAAAATTTTCTGCACCTCTGAAAAGAACTAGTGTCACTCAACGTGCTACATGTTACATCAAAAATGAGTAGACTTAGTAGCTCCATAATAGATAACAATATATTAATGAAAGACTTTGTATTAATATAAAAAGACAAAAGATATCTACAAATTCATAACATTGTTTCTTTGATTTTAATTATTGTAATGAAATAAAATGATTAAAGTTGAAAAATTTAACATTTATTTCTAAAACAATAGAGGGTAAACAATTCTTCATAAATCTCATAACCATTAGAATCAATTTTTGACATGTTATCAGATTTTATTTAGGAATAGTATTTAAAAAATTAAGAATTTAAAAGTATTAAGCAAATTTATTTATCTCTACTCAGTTTTATCATGTATACTATTTCCAATTTAAATATAAAAAAAGAAGAATAATGACAAATCATTCATTTGCTCAAATATTGTAAAAATTTGAAAATGAATGAATGATTCAAAAGAATTTGTTTCTAAAATAAATATTGCTCCATTAATTCCATTCCATTACTCCATTATAAGATGTAGTAAACATAATTAAGGAATTTTTAATACTTAGATTTGTAATAATCATTTAAAAATCTCTAATGTATATTAGAGTAGAGTGTCGTTTATCCAAAAGCTGATCAACTGAAATGTCAGTTAACCGACAGCATTCCAGTCAGACTGAGTCATGCTGAATGGAACGTTTTTGATACTAGATTAACTTCCAAAATATAATTTTTTTTGTTTTTATATTTTTCAATATATTTATTTCGTTTGTACAAAATAAAGCAATAATTTTTAATGATACAATAGCCACGATTATTATTTTAAAAAATTTACATTAGACTTAACATTGACAAAAATTCAATGCGAAGCAACAAGCAACAGAAAAAAATTTCATCATCAGATAGTTTAATATATTTTTTCGTACATAATCGGTTATCCAGACAACCCCAGTCCCCAATTGATTCGGATAAATGATGCTCTACTGTATTATGAAAGGCTTTTTTGTCAATATATATAAATTTAATTTTAGTTAATGTTCTCAATATCCTATAATGAAGTTCAGTTTTTTCCTTTTACACATTACTAATAAATTTCTATTTGCTAATGTGTAGAACTTAAAATTTTAAATTAAATATCAAATCATTTAAAAGTTACATTTTTTAAATTAAAATTTTATAAAATTAAACTGTAAATAAAATAGTTAATTATTAAATAGCTGTTTTTTAGACATATTGATAGTTAATCTTCAAAAATTATTTAGAATTCAAAAGTAAATATATGTTATAAATTGTCAAATAATTAACTTGAAAAATGGTACTCAAATTTCATACTGATTTCATCAATATCTTTTATATCCAGTACAAAATAATAACTAAGCACACTAATTAAACATGGAGAAATAAAAGAAAATCATAAAAATTTATTTATAGTCAATTGATACTCACTATTAGTTTCCATTTTGTTATTTGAATCAATTCTTCATGAGTAATATGAGGTTGTTTCCTTGAGTGAATGATTGTAGGTAGTTGTTCATGATACCTTTTCAAAAAATAATTAAACAATATTATTATAATGATTAAGTAGATATAAAATGTTATAACAATCTGAAATTAACAAATGTAAAATTACAAATACTACATTTGTTAGAAATACAAATGTATCATAAAAAAAGCAATTATTATATTTAATAAAATGATTATAAATAGCATATATTAATATATTTTATATAACTGTAAATAAAAGAAAATTTTAATTTGTAAAACTTTTCAAGATTATTTGTTCAACTCTATACATTTTTATATCTGAAGTTAATGATCTACATCAGTGATGATGAACAACTTTTTCTAGATGTAGGCCACAAAGAGAATTTCATAAGCTTCTGTGGATCACATGCAGTTTTTCTTATGAAGTTGTAAGCTTTAAGCCTGTTGAGTACCAACATACTCTGTAATCACTAGTATAATATGTACTAATGATATGCAAACTAGTAACATTATAGTTTATTCTCATCTTTTTAATGGTTGAGTTTAATTTGGATGTTGTTCATCACAAATACCAGCCTAATTCTTCTTTAGTTTTCTGCTGGTTATAGCAGGTCCATTGAGCACCACTTTTTTCCATGCTTATCTATCCTCTGCTCTTGTTTTTAGCTCATAACAATCCTCTTTTAAGTCTCCTTCGCACTCATTTCTTTTTGGCTGCACCCATTCCTTCCATAAGCCTTCCTCTCAAATCATGTGACCCATCCAATTAGCTTTCCACCTCTTCATTGTCTCTAATATGTTCCTTTTTTCACCCACTCTTCTTAGGACTTCCTCATTTCTCATCTTATTGCTCCATCTGACTTTCTCTATTCTTCACCACAGCCAGTGGTGTAGCATAGTAGGGGTGGCAAAATTTCACAATAAATAACATCTTGTAAAAATTTGAACCATTTCATTTCATATTTTTGTCGCACCTATGATTCAGACCAATGAAATGAGCATGGAATTTTTCATTACTTATTCTGTGATGAAACTGAATTTTAGTCTTTTAAATTGAGATACCTAAATAAGGGGACAGCGATATTTTCCTCCACCCCTGGCGACTGACACCCACGCTACGCCACTAACCATAGCCACATCTCTAGTGTCTCTATTCTCCTAATGTCACATTGTCTCAAGGTCCAAGTTTCAGCACCATAGAGGAAAACACTCTAGATCAAGGCTGCCCAAACCCAGGCCTGCAGGCCACAAAGTGGCCTGCCAATGCATTTGAATTTGCCTGCCCACAGTAGCGGTCGGCTATCACCATGTGTGATGTCGTGCTACTAATAATGCCAACCGCCATGTGATTGGTCAAACATGGAATGAACTATGACTTGAGTCACTGCCATACCATTGTTAATACCTAACCTATGCATTTATTACACTTGTTCTATTAGTTTTGAGTTGACTTTTGTGTATTAAAATTAAATTGTTGTCACCAAATATTGAAAAATTATTAGCTAATAATACCCTTCTTAGGTCTTATTGATGTATTTTTTTATTAGGTATTATTAAAACATGTGCAACTTAAAGCTTTGTTTGATTCAAATACCTATCCATTTATAGAAGAACGAGTGTAAGCAAGTGTGATTCACTGGGTAACCCGCTGGCTTACATGTAATTGAAATTATAGCCTGCCTCCAAAATGAATTGGGCAGCACTGCTCTAGATGTAGTATTTGACCAGCCTTTTTCTCAATTCTAATTTCAGACATCCACACAAAATTGTTTTCATTTTGCTAAATGCCTCTTTCATCATTCCAATTTTCCTCTTGATTTCTTTCCCACTTCTGCATTCAGAATCAAACCAAACATCCAGGTATCTAAACCCATTCACTTGTTCCACTTTGTCACCATTTATATGGATGTTGACCTTTCTTTCCTTTTCTCCAATTCACAGCACTTTGGTTTTGCTAATATTACTTTATTTTGAAAACATCACACCGCCCTCTCTAGATCACTCAGGATCTTTCTCATTTTACCCTTGATCTCTGCCAGAATTGCCATACCTTAAGCACTGAATGTCATTCTCCAATTTTAATGCATTCCTCTTCCTCTAGATATTCCATAATCATCTCTTCCAAGTATATGTTGAAAAGAAATGGCAATAAATAACATCCCTGCCTAACATCCTTTTCAATCTTGATTTCCTCACTATATTGACTATCTTTAACTACTGCTCTCAGATATTTGTACAAGTTTAGTATTAATCTCCTGTCCTTCCAATCTAATCCTTTCTTCTTAAAATATCCATCAACCTTTCCCAGTCAATTTTATCAAATGCCTTCTCAAAATCTAAAAAACAATGTATCATTCTCCTATAGTTATCAGCATTCCTATTACTTCTCTAGTGCCTCTTCTCTTTCTGAACTCAAACTGTTCTTCCCTTATGAATGGGTTCAGTTTTCCTTAAGAGGCATTTCTCTAATATTCTTAGAAAGATTTTTGAGGTATGAGAAATAAGATATTCCTCAGAAAGTCGTTGGACCAAGTACCTATATCATAATGTTGCGAAGCCTGACAATTTTCTTATATCTAAAATCAAATGCTATGTGCAGCCCACAGACTGCAGGTTATTCACCACTGATCTATATGAATTAAAATTTCTATCTTACTTGTTAGGTTTGATTTGGACTCATCTTTTTCTAATTCAATTTATTTCAAATCCAATTTATCAAACTTAAAATTTATGCCTGAAGCTGTCTCTATTTTAAAATCACATTAAAATTGGAAAAAAACTAAACTTTTATATTTGAGAACATCTGTAATATCAACTCTTAAATAAACTAGCATTCATGATTAAAACTTTACAATTAAAAGTACCTAGTATTTTGTTTTTGATATAGCTAAGCAGATTTTGCATGTATTAATCTAGAATATTTTAAATAACATTGCTTGACTTGATATACTATAAAGCTAGACTCCAACCAATGCCGAATTCTATCGGAATTCAGCGACAGAATTCAGCATTGGTTGGAGTCTAGCTAGAATATTTTCAATAAACAGTGAATTTAGTTGAAAATGACTTCTTTCAAATTCCACTTTTTCTGCAATAAATTAAAGTATACATTCTAGTTTTATTTTATTTTTCAAAACAAAAACACAGTAAAAATATTTTGAGGTAAATGCCAAAGGATGGCTTAAATATATTAAATACTTTTTTTATAAATATTTTGTGTTGAAATAGGGTGCTTCTTCTATGCCATAAAATATAGTACAACATGAGAGATTACTACATTATAAAATATAAAAAAGCAATATATAAATTGATAATTCAATGCTTTCATTCCAACTAGCATAATTGCACCTAAAAAGACTACTTTGAAATTTAGAAAACTGATGTTGAAATATCATTACAAACATTTTTATGGGACATAAGTAGACAACAAAGAATATGTTTTATTATTATTATTATTATTATTATTAAAAAGTAAAGTTACTTTTTTGTTATAAGTTATTTAAAACAAAAATTTGTATATTGTCTGATAAACTTATACACTCCTCTATTTGTATTAATATTTTCATTATTGACAACATTTATTCACACATTTTAGTATAGTAATACTGAACATTAAACATATCTTCCAAAAATTTTCAAGTTTAAATAAACTACTTTTGAGTGCCTTAAAGTGCACTGTAGAAAATCATATTTGGAAGAATGCTAATGAAAATGCTGCAATTGTGAAATAACAACATTACAACAATCATCTATCAAGACAGGATTGATGTGACACAGCACCTATCAGTTGGATCACTCTACTCTATACATAGCATTATTCAGATATTTGTAAAAACTTCACACTTTTCTATCTATAAACTTCAAATACGCAAACAATATAATTAAAAAGAAAAAGTAATGGCTTTAAAAGGGAAAACAATCTTGATAATATATTATAATTTTGGGTTCACATATTATGGAACTAACAACCCTTCAACCATGAAATACAAAAATTTCTTTATCATCAAATATTTTCAATCGTCTTAAATGATCATCAGGAAATTACATTCTAAAAGAACAAACACCAAACAATTTTCTAGAACATATTTGGTTCTGGAAAACTGTTGGGTGTTCATTCTTTAGAATGTAATTTCCTGAAGAAGATTGTTTAAGATAATTGAAATTTTGAGAATAAAGAAATTTTTATTGCTTTTCTTGGTTGTAAGGTAGGTAGTAATATAGAACAAGGTTTAAAGTTTTTAGTATGTATATATAACAAGAAACTGAGATATTAGACAAAATAAATTCCAAAGTATACAATAGTAAAAATGCTTAAAAAAATAAAGCAAGAAAACAAATGAAATTCTATAAAGTAATGGCTGTACCTATATTATTATATCAAGATGAAACATGGGCACTAAAAGCAAGAAATAGCAGACAGAAGCATCAGAGATGAAATTTCTAAAACTGAAAAAGTAATGTATAACAGTTGATAAAATTAAAAAAAAATGAAGACATATTGAAATAATTTATTCTAAAAATCTTCATAATAAAACAATTGACATAAATGCAAAAAAAAGTATGTAAAGCATGAAAAACAACTCTCAAAGAGGCAACTCAATCATCCAACTGGTAAAAGATAGAGAAAAGTTCATTAAATTCCTCTGTTTAATGCTTAAAAGATGAAACAGGTATCTTGTCTAATCCATGACAGAAGAAGAAACTATTTTATATATACATATATTTTTTTTGTAGCAACAAATGTAAGATTACACACACGTGTAAAAGTTGATGATTAAAATTCTTCAAAGTTAAAGCCAAATTACTGCCAGATTATAACAAGCTATATTAATGCTACTAATTACTAATTACATGTCAAGAAATTTGGCTTTAATTTAAAATAGAGTCTGTAGATTTTTATATTAGTAAGATTCAAAGTTTTAACTCGGTTATGATTATTATAAATATAATCAAATATGCATTCATGCTCAGAGTTTGGCACAATAACTCAATTTTATCAACAGGTGCTGATAATCTAAAGCATTTATGCACTTTACATTGACGAATTATTAAAGAATTAATGAAAACATAACTATCAGTGTTTAACTTGACTTTTTCTACTATGAAATTAATGAAGTAAAAAAAGAAATTGCCTAGTTTTCTATATTTTCATTGTAAAATTTAATAATGTTAAAGTTATGTATGAGCCAAAAGGCTCATAACTTTATTAGCATTCTTTATTAATTTGATAACATATTTCAGCATTTGCTCTCATCAGACTATTTAATAAAGATATTTCAATAAGTTTTAACCAATTTGTAAATATCAATTGAATAAAGTTACACTTATTGAATGAAAACTATGTGCCTCCTCTATTGCCTGTATTAACAACTATGACTTACATCATATTGCCAATGACATACATCAATGGTTTCCAATTAGTGGTACACGTACCCCTAGAAGTACGCAAAATTGCATGAAGGTGTATGCGCGGAAATCTAAAATTGGTCAATTTAAAATTTAAATGCATGAGATGAAGTAATAAAAGAAATAATGGGTAAACCATCAAAAATTTGACAATTTACAACATGATGTCAAATGCACAAATTCATTTATTTATAACTAAAAATATTCTGAAATTTCATCAAAAAAATGCAT